GTTAAAATCTAAACTATAATTTTGATTTTCCAGATCCCTTTATGGGTGTCTCCACTGCCTCTTGGTCCTTCCATGAGTAGTAGTAGACTTCTCAAGATGAAATGAACACTAACCCAATATTTTCAACTTGCTTTACTATCCAACTCCAAGATTTTCCCTCATACAATAGTTTAACCTGAACTTCTGACAGCATGTATTCAATAGCTAAATTCAACAAACATTGAAACCAGAAATGCCCAGAAGTACTCAATCTATGACCATATTTGTTGGGCCACATGTGAACTCCCAAATATTTTATGTGGCCTTTGGTATACTCTCAAAAGTTGTTACTGTTATTTTTAATCTGGTAGAAAGATTAAATTGTTAAATATGCCTAAAATAATTATATTAATAATTTTAATTGTAGTTAAGTTTAACTTATTTTAAATCAGATTTAGTTTTTGCCTTGGCTTCATTCATTTTTGAAAGTGTGGGTTGTGACATGCAATTCAGAGGCCTGTGATTGCCCTCAGTCCATTGTATACCTTAGCTCTAAATTATTACTTGGAAGGCTTTTTCCCCTTAATTTTGATTGAACCATAGTTTATCTACATACCAGAATCAAACTTTGAATTTAAACAGTATTTAAGGAAACTGGGCAGGTAATCTTTTTGAACAATTGTTAGTATATGAACTATTCAGAAAATCTGAAATTTGTGGAAGTTGACAGAAATATTAAGTGATTTTAAAAAATGTGAAATTGAATTCTGAAATTGGAGAGACTATGAAATATATGTTTTAGTAATCACAGACAGAGTTTAGGAGCAATATTATTCTTTTCATAAATCTAAAATATTACAATAATATTTGCAAATTATATTTCAATATACATCATTTTTAGTGAGACAATAATTAATTTTGTAGGATAAGATCCAAAGATTAATTCCACCAGTACCATCACCCTGGGTTGCTGTGGATATGCTTCTTGAGAAGTAATTATCCATGCTCCATGTTAAAAGATTTTTCAAAGTGATGTTGCAATTTGATATGTGTCTACTTAGATATAAATCTCATTGAATTCAGCAAGACAATTATTAGTAAGTTAGATTTAGAATTGCAGTTTGAATGTGGTTGCAAAGGTAGTTTATGGTGTGTCATTAATATATGTCAATCAAAAAATGCAATAGTTCAGCCTAAACAATTTTTTATTACCTTAGCTATTGTTTGCTGGAGGAATATAGGAAGCAGCTGTCATACATTTGGCCATCAAGCTCAATATTGTTTAGGCAGATTGGCAGTTGTTCTCCAGTATTTCTGAGACGAAGCTTTTCCAAATTATTTCTAACTAAAAATAAGACAAGCTGATCCTGGGATATTTCATGCATCTTTTGAAGTGAGCTTCAGCTCAGAAAGGTTATACATTTTAATAAAATTTGTTGTTAAGAGCTACCAGACTTCTCCTGATTTTTGGGATCTTTGGCATACAAGTTAATTGATTTTAATTGTTTTGTAAACTGTCCAGAGTCGTTCAATGAGATGGGCAGTAACAAATTCGAATAATAAATAAATAAATAAATAAATAAATAAGTGTTCAGCATGACTATCCCTAATACACTGATGTATTGTTAAAATCTAAACTATAATTTTGATTTTCCAGATCCATCATTCAGAGATACTCTACAGCCAGCATTCTTGACAACTCAGCCTTGTACCACAATTCCCATTGGAGTATCCACTCTGAAAAAAGAAGCATTACAGCAACAGCACTCCTTGTCCAGAAGTGTTCCAAGTACCAATTCTGAAAGGTAAACAGCATTCTCTGATGTCTTGCAGTTAAAAGAAGAAGCTATCCAAGTGAACCACAGTCTCTGTACAATTTTGTTTTATCCATAGAAAGTGTATGTCCTCGCTGGAGCCAGATACTAATACCAGCAGTTGGAGATCTAGGTCACACTCTGAAGAGCTGCTACAAACAATAGGGACTGCTTCATCTGTTGACTCTTTTATAATTGAAGGTAAACTGGGAACTCGGTGTGATACCATTCACATGCTGAAATATTGACATTATTAACAAGCAATATTGAATTATGCTACATTTTAAAAAAAACTAAAAGGGATTCATCTGTGGTCATGTTACGATCAGAAGCAAGGCTCAAAATTTAGAGGTCAGCATTCTGCAAGTGACCTAAACTCTTTTTCAGATATTTTAAAATGTTGAATGTTAGTTTTCAAAAGGTGACATTACTGTATTTGTTTAAGGTATCTTTTAAAAACTTAATGTGCAGTTGCCTGTATCACAGCAGCATTGTGCTCTTTGAGCAGGAACCAAATGAATGAAGCATTAGTTCCTTCATAAGTGTTCAGCAAAACTTTCCAATCAATGCCGTACAGATTACAAAGTAAAGAGCAGTAAAACTGGAGAGGGTTTATCATATTCTTGCCCTCTTATCTTGACAGGATTAAACCTTTTCCAGACTCAGTGACACCAACTGCATAAGTTTTTTTCTTATAGAGTACAACATTCTTGTTCCTTTCATTTTTAAAGTAATGTGTATCCCACTAAATGCTTCTATTTTTTTCTTTTTTTGAAATGGATTTCATGCTAAAGATACATAGAAGCAAGCATTATCAGGAATTGATAACCATGTCTCCTGATTCATAGTTGCAGTAGTATTTAGTACTCCTTAGGAGTACTAAAAATCAGCACATGAAGCAATCCTGGATTACATTTTAGATATTTAATTGGTATCTAACTTGCCTATGTTGTTGATATATTTAAGAATGACTTTTATTTTGGTTGCTGTAGATGATGTTGATGCCTCTTTATGGAGTGACCTCAGCACTGATACATTGGAATTTGAAGCAGAATCTTGGAGTCTGGTTGTAGAGCCTTGGTTTTGTAACCAACAAGAAAAGGATGTTATCAAGCGACAAGATGTAATCTTTGGTTAGTTTGCTATACTATCCTCTAGGTTTCTATATAGATAGTTGGACGTGAAAATATAAAACAGCCTTCCTTAATTTGATGCTCAGTAGATGTGTTGCATTCTGCTATCAGGGTGTGATAATAGAAGTTGTAGTCTAAAATATATGCTGGAATCAGAATCAGTAGTGGAATAAAACTAAAAAATGCACACTCAGATCTTTGTTTCTGTCTATATACCACTCTGAGGAAGTGAGAAGAGTTATGCTCCATTTGTATTTAACATGATCTCAGTTGTGCAGTAATTTGATAAAACTGCTATTTAATATTCCTAATAGATTTTAATCTAATAAGAATGTTTGGGCAGAATGGTAGGACATGCTGAACAGTGGAGAGCACTTCTGTTTAGGAGTATAGACAGACAGCCACCCCTTTTTCCAGTGCTGCCTGCTATTTTTCCCTTCCTTGTTTTTTGCCTAGCAGACTGTCATTATTTTGAGTGTATATTTAGGCCCTATGGGCTTTAATCCCCACCTTCTCGTTTCAATTCTTTTTTTCTTGCTAAAGATGCATTTATACTTCTGCACACCTTAGAGGTTCCCTAATGTCCTGAAACCCTCCCTCACTTGGGAATGGATCTTCGGTATACAAAAATTCTTTGTATACTGTGTATACCGTATATTTCTCTGTGTTGACACAGAGAAAGAATCCATTGTAAAATGTATCTACTGGGAGTTATTTAATTTTGTGGGGTGTTTTTTTTTGCAGAACTAATGCAAACAGAAGTGCACCACATCCATACCCTGTTCATCATGTCCAAAATATTCAGAAAAGGGATGAAAGAAGAACTACAGCTGGACCACAGCACAGTGGACAAAATTTTCCCTTGCTTAGATGAGCTGCTGGAACTTCATCAGCAGTTCTTCTGTAGGATGAAGGAAAGGCGACAAGTCTCAAGTCAGGAGGGAAGTGACAGAAATTTTATGATCAACAAAATTGGAGATGTCCTTGTGCAACAGGTAAAGCACTGAATCGAATTATACTTCCAACATAGTGTTTGTAAAGACACAGTCATTCTAAGAGAGCAAACTGGGTATCTGGATGTCTTAAGGCAGAGATGCTGAAACCTGCATTCAGGTAATCCTCGAGTTACGACCACTTGTTCAGCAACTGTTCAGAGTTCTGGCCATTACAACATCCCTGCGGTCATGTGATTGTGAGCCAGGCACTCAGTGCCCAGTAAGGTCACATGATCGTGATTTCCAATATTCCCTGCTGGCTTCCCACGAGCAAAGTCAATGGGGAAGTTGGTATGAAGTTGAAAATTGCCCCTCCTGCCCCTTTTTTGACTGCCTGTGTCCTGTGGTGCTTGTCCATGGCATCCCCCCACTCCCCTGTGGCAACCGCGTGCCCGCTTGTGCTCCAGAGCGCCTGTCCATGGCACTTCCCATGGCACTTGCACACCCATCCGTGCTCCAGAGCCCCTGCCTGCAGCATCGCCCTATCCACCTGTATCTCTCACCCACTGGCCCGGGACTCCTGCTTCTTCTCACTTAACGACCTGTGAGGTCCTGGAGTTAGGACAGCAACCAGGAGTGCCAGGATTGTCATCGCTAAGTGGTGTGGTCACATGATGTGCTTTATGACTGCATCGCTCAGTGGTGGAAATTCCAGTCCCAGTTGCCTTTGTAAGCTGAGGACTACCTGTATATCGATTTGTATGATCCTGGTCCAACCACTAATTTTGTAAACAGGCAAAAGAGTACTTCCTTTGCCAATATTTTCAAGGCATCTGAGATCACAAAGAGAATGTTTCCCTTTCTCTAGCAATTATGTGACATCTCCCAGTCCATGATGCTTCTCCAGTGCACCAAATAGATTGGTGGTGGAATTGGAGGAATCTGTTTGGTGAAGTGGGAGGATCAGTTTGCTTATGCATTCACTATACAGCATAGTGATAATCCACCAGTACTCTTTTGAATTGCTACTGGTTTTCAGTTTTCAGAAGAGAATGCAAGAAAAATGAAGACTATCTATGGGGAGTTTTGCAGTCATCAGAAAGAAGCAGTCAGCCTTTTTAAAGAGTTGCAACAAAACAAAAAATTCCAGAACTTCATCAAAGTAAGTTGATAATAGATGTTTTTGTTGCACAAAAGGTTACCTACTTTAGGAGAAATATTAAATATATCTACATGAGAGATGGTACAGCAAAGTAGCTTAGGATTCTAAATAAATAAATAGTTTCAAAATGGTTTCTCCCACTAGGTCTTAGTGCAGTATGACTGGTAACACAGACCTTCTTTACAGAATTGTAAGAGTTGCAAGTAGTTGATAATGATATTCAGTGCCACATAAGGAGTTTCCATTTATACAATAGAGTTTTCTTTCTTTTTGTTGAGATTTTCGAAGTGGAAAGTGAATCTCTAAAGAAAGGGAAAATCTGTTTCTCTAACAGTGTCTTATTCTGTTGTGGATAAGCAACATTACATTTCATCTAATGTAAGAAAAGTCTTTGAATGCTTTAAAGCAGAGCAATTGGGAGTCAGGCATTGTACAAATGGTATTGAATGAATGAATGAATGAATGAATGAATGAATGAATGAATGAATGAATTTTTATATTATGTTATTACTATATTATTACTACATCTTTTATAGAAGTTTTTTTAATAAAATAATTATAGACATAATTATTGATTTTCATTCCAAAAAGGGTTTATTATTAAAGCCTTATGAAATTAAGCCTTATGAAATAAAAAAGGACTATCTTTAGTGTTCCTGATTATTTGAATAATTAAAAAAAACAATTATATGCATTGGTTTATTTGCTGTTGGCTCAGGTTGATGAAATACCTAGTTACAAATAAGGTAATAATATACCTATTCCAATCCAATAGGAGGAGCCCACTGTAGATATAAAAGATTTTTATTTATATAAATATAACAATATATTTGTTAGTATTTTCTTTTATTGTCTCTACTGAATGTTCAGACCACCTACAGGCTCTTGTGATTCATTGGAATGAGGAACCAGCAACATCCATGGGGGGAGACAAAAAAATCAAGGTGGCAGTCACAGCAGCACAATTGAAGCCCTACCCCTTTGTATGTGTGTGCAACGTTGATGAGGTTTTGATAGTGTGTGCACAAAAGAGATGAGGTTTTGATAGTGCTGCTATTACAGCCATCTTGACTTTTTTTTTACCACCCCATGTGACCCCCTTTAGCAGACACCACTGTAGACAACTTACTGAAAATTATTATAAAATTCCTTAGCCTGTTGCCTGCATCAGCCATATAAAGTGGCAAAATGAAGTGAATAATACTTTATATCAAATGGATTCAAGCAGGAGGAAAAAAAAAATAGGAGATTCTCTTCCATCACTCAGGCAGAGAGACTTAAAATCTAAATGACATATCTAGCAAATCAGGGCTGTGTGTTAAAAGTTAAATTTCTTCTTAAAGCTGCGGAACAGTAATCTTTTGGCCCGGCGTCGAGGAATCCCAGAATGCATTCTGCTTGTCACTCAAAGAATCACAAAGTACCCAGTTCTAGTAGAAAGAATATTACAGTATACCAAAGGTAAGCAGTAATTTTGTACCTGTTTCATGAATAAGTCTTATGGTATATATATTTAACTAAATAACATCAAAACATCAACAGTATTTTTAAAATTTTCTAATAAAAATATTTCTTTTTAAAAAGTCAGTAATATTTTTAATGTGTTTTCAGATAGTTCATTCTACAAATAACCTCTTTTGTTATAAGTGAAAAGGAGATCTGTTCCATATGGTATACTCCTCCCCCCTCTTTTATTGTTTTTTATTGCATGAGTACAACAAAATAAGCAGAATACTAAAAAACTCACACGGTAAATTCCTAATCTTGTAAAAAGTGTTAAAGGGCTTATACTGGCCCAAACAAGGGCATACCTGGTAGGGATTCTAGTTTGGACCTGATGTCCAAACAGCCTGGGCATTCAGGTTGGGGAAGGCTGTTGTAGCTAATCAATGGCCCAGTGAGGGTTCTTAGGAAGCCCTAGTCCAGTGGAGAGAGAGTGAACAAAGGTGTGGGTAGAGGAGGAGATGGTGGGAGGAAATGGAAGAGGAAGCACGTATGATTATGATTCCAGGTGCTGTACTCTAAGAGCTCATGGCCCTAGCAGAACAATGCAGCAAATCTAGCATTACTGGCACATGCCAATACGGGAGTACTAAGTGTGGCAACACCATGGATGAGTCTTCTGAGCAATAAAGGTTGCTAAATGAGGACTACCTGTACGAGTTTTCATGTTTATGCTTTTCTCTCAAAACTTACAAGAAAGCAGCAAAGCTAGACTTTTAATTAGTATTTTGATTTACAGAATTCCATGGGCCATGAACCATTCACAAAATAGATTTGAAAATAATACCTTGGTTATTTTTTATGAAAATCCATTCTAAGCATGTAAGGAGAAGGGTTTTCCTTGGCTAACAATATGCATCTCCTTGTTTTTATACAGAAGGAACTGAAGAACACCAAGATTTGTGTAAAGCCCTTAACTTTATCAAGGATATGATTGCAGCAGTTGATTTGCAAGTCAATGAATACGAGAAGAAACAGAAATTGCTGGAGATTCTTAGTAAAGTTGAAAATAAAACATATACCAAACTGAAAAATGGACATGTTTTTAGGAAACAAGATTTGATCAAGAAACAGAGGACACTTTTGTACGAAGGCTTAGTCTACTGGAAAACAGCTACAGGACGTTTTAAAGGTTATTGAAATTCAAATTCCTTGTATATTTTCAGTAGTGCATGATGTTCTGTTTCTTTGTACTTTTCAAAAGAAAGTTTTTTTTTTACAAATGGGTAAGTTACTAAAGATATGGAAAAAAAAATACCTTAGAGTATAGATTGGATGATAAAAGCATTTCTCTCTATATCTTGACTAAGTTTATGGTCTTGGTATTTTCTCTCACTGATTTTCCCCAGAGTTAAGTTTGTTTGATCACTTATTCCCTGTCATAAGAAATCAGTTTATCTGACTGTAACACATCCAACATCAACAATCTGTTTTCTAATATAGTATGAGATCACATTAGAACATTAAGCCTGTTCAAATGTTAGGTGTAAAATGATACCTTCAAGATAAATTTATCTCATCAGCCTAATGAAGTACATTATAGTAAAGAACAACAGAAGCACATTAAGAAAATAATAAAAATCAAGTGCATAATAAAAATCAAGTGCATAAGTTAACACTAAAATACAGTAGCAACCTTACATTCAAATTATATGATCAAAATCACTCTAAATTAAGATGCTAACATAGAATCACCATGTGTGTGCTGTGTAGGCAGCCCTCCCTGGTGAGACTATTGCAGAGGCAAAGTGCCTCCTGCCAAAAATTTCTCCTGTCACCATTTGGTGCACCTTGAATATTGAAGGATTATCTGGGAAAGGGTCAAAGTAAAGATTTTAATGGATAGGCAGACTGAAGCAAGTGAGGTGGTCCAGCAACTAGATGAACTGGCTGTTTTACCCTGACTCTTGTACAGGTAGTCCTCATTTAGCAACCACAGTTGGGACCAGCAACTTGGTCGCTAAGCGAAGTGGTCGCTAAGTCAAGCTGCGACTGTGCTTATGATCTTACTTCAGCTTTCCTTTGCTTTACAGACCTGTGAAGGTCGTAAATGCGAGGATTTAGTCATCACCAATCATAACTGTGAACGGTAAAGTTACTTTATCATTACCATCGTAACTGCGAACGGTTGCTAAACAAGGCAGTTGCTAAACAAGGACTACCTGTATTAAAATATAAAATGTAAATCAAAAATTCCTACCTAAAGTGAAGAAATATATTGAAGTAATTTTTGGCATTCTTTGAAAATACTGCTGATGATAAATCTATGCATGTCAATCTTTCATTGAATACAAACCAGTGAGCTCTAATCTGGAGCCTCAGAGAAAGTTGTGCCCACCTCATCAGTTCAGTAACTGTTTTCATAGGATGCCCCATCCTAATCTCTTCATCTGGTGAATCTGTGAGGGTTGGATTGTGATGTGAATGTTTTTAAAAATTTGCATTTATTTTCATTCTATTTGTTTGATATGATATAAACTATTACTCTATAATATTGATTTCCTTTCTTTTTCAAAGATATTTTAGCTCTGCTTCTAAATGATGTGATGTTGTTTTTACAAGAAAAAGATCAGAAGTATATATTTGCAGCTGTTGTAAGTATGAATGTTTAAAAATTCTTTGGATTACCTTAATTGAGAAATTGTGTAAATTGTAAATGTTTTCTATATAGCATAAAATGATACATGTTGGGACCTTATTCAGTCAAAATTAAGCACTTTAGGCTGCAATCCTGTATCTGTAAATTTATACAGACTGCTGTTGAAATCAATGATTTCATTGCAGGTTAGGCAAAAAGACTAATAAATTTTTAACTGAATTGATACATCCTGATCAGGCTGGATTTGTCCTGAGAGATAATGCTTGATATATTTTGAATGCTATTTACAATATAAACCATAAAAGTAAGAAACTGGCCATGGCTTTCTTATATGTGGAGAAAGTTTTTGATAATTTGGAATGGCCTTTTATATTTACAACTCTGGAAAAGATTAACTGTGGCATGAATGTTTGTACATGTATATAGAATATTTATAAAAAACAAATGGCCAAGATTATCATTATCAACAGGCTTTTGTGAAGCAGAAAAAGTACTATAGTGAAAGGAACAAGGCAAGATTACACTTTTTTGCTTTCTTTACTTCTACTGGCAAAGAAGATAAAACAACAAAATAATGTTTCAGGAAGTAACCAAACAGAAATATGAATTAAAATCATACACAAATGATATTGTACTTACAGTTACCCACCCAAAGGATTCTTTAGAACTGATATTGGAATATATTCAGAATTCATTTGTGGATATCAGATTAATGAATAATTAATCTCATCATGACTCAAATGATGACATGAAATGCATTTGAAGATGAAAAACAGTATTTACAGCAAATAATGTGTTTCAATGTCACTGTCAAAAAATAGGTATTTGGCAATTTCTTTAACAAAAAATAATAAAGACTAATTCAAAGCAATCATTTCCAGGCTTGGAAAAGTCTAATGGTAGACATCTTAAGATGGAGAAAGTTGAAACCTGGTTAGGAAGAATTGCAATGTAAAAATGAATATGTTATCAAGGTTCAATTTTTGAATGATCCCAATAAGAATTGAAGGGAGCTTGCTGGGCCTGGCTGGGGAGGAGGCAGCAGGGTGGAGCTGGCAGTTCTTGCAGGGCAGGAGAAGTGTGAGGTCCTCACTTAATGACAGCGTGGTCCTTGCCTGGCGGCTGCAACCAAGACTACCAGAACTGCTGTTGCTAAGCGATGCAGTCACGTAATATTTCGCCTAACAAACACTTTGCTTAGCAATGGCAATTCTGGTCCCAATTCGGGTAGTTAAGCAAGGACTACTTGTATTTGAATATGTAAATTTTTATCAATGTCATTTCAAAATGCTAATTTTAGAGTGCTATTAAACCTCATCTTTATTTACAACTTGCCTTTTTAAAATCTTTTTTCTTGCTTCTTTTTCTGATTAACTTTTTAAGTTTAATAAATCGTTTAATAGATGAACATTTATTCAATAAAATAAACATTTTATTAACATTAAACAATAACATAAACATTTAAAATACAATGTTATAATAAAATAAAAATATATTATAAATTATTTATTTATTATTATGTATTTATTATATTATAAAATAAAATATATTATTTTATATAATAAAATAAACATTTAATGAATGTTTTTTAAAAGGAAAACATCATAATTTTCAATTATTCTGGCTTATTGTTACACTGAAATAATTTAATTAGGTGGTCACTCAGTTCCTTTGACTCAGAAGACGTTGTGATTTGTCATTTATTCTGTATAGGACCAGAAGCCTGCTGTTATAGCTCTTCAGAAACTTATTGTCAGAGAAGTAGCCAATGAAGAGAGAGGGATGTTCTTGATTAGTGCATCCTCCACAGGACCCGAGATGTATGAAATTCATACTAGTTCTAAAGAGGAGCGCAGTCACTGGATGAGGCAGATTCAAGAGGCAGTGGAAAGGTACATCCTAGAACATTGGCTGTTGCTTTTTAATCCTTTATTTTAATCTAAAATTCTCCTTAGAAATGATTGTTAACTATATCCTATCAAAGTATCATATACATGATAAATCTTGAAAACATACAGATTCGAAGTTACATCCACTGAGATTTTGGTATACGTGACTCATATTGCCTCTTGCTGTCAGCAGTGGCTCTTGTAAGATGAAGTTGTACATCTTCCCAGGTTGGGCTATTTGGGATAATTATATGGCTGTTTGAATTGGGATCTGGCTTGTAAAGCAACTGCTCTGCTAGGAGGGACAGTAATATGAGGCACCATCTTTGTTGCTGTTCAGTGTCATTCGTAAACGCTTAGATATATGATGACATTTCCAGCCCAATTCTTAACGATTTTTCAAGTAGATGGTAGCCAGCTGCTTAAACTGCAATCTTTATTTCTGTTTAACATTTCTTAACAGGAGACAAAATGTGGAAAGAAAGTATATCTGCTAACCTCATCAAATTATAAATCTCTATAATAACCCCATTAAATTAGCCCTATTAAATTAGTATGACTAAAGTTGACATTTCCAAATGGATTCTTGTGTATAATGTCTTATGAAGAAAGATAAGATTGCCTTAATCTGTTTTGTTTATATGGCATCACTGAAGTTGTCCAGAAGAAGAAGGCAAAATGGGTGAATCTGATGAGGACCGAAAAATAACTGAAGCCAGAGCAGCCAAAATTCAAAAATGTCAAGGTATGGTGTAATGTTTTCTGGCACTTTAAAAACTAATGCATTCATTCCACTAGAGTGGACACGATCCTAAAAAAGAATGTTTGTGTGTAATTATTCACATGCTGTTGCCTCTGATTTAAAGTTTGATAGTTTTAAACATTATACTTCAATTCTGAGGAAGTCTGAATTGTGTTTCCTTATTAATAACTATTGAATGGAACTATTTACAGGCCATCTTGTAACAAGGATCCTTAGCCGCCTCCTCCTCCTCCATAAGACATTTTTATAAACAGTCAGTGCATTAGAACTTCCCACACAGCACTGTTTCCTCATTGTGAAGTACTATGTGACTATAACCTGTACGTGGATGCTTCACTAGGGTGGGGCTGCATACAACTCATAATACGAAAACCAAATTTGTGGATAATTATGGTTCCAACATAAGTAATAATTACAATAACGATGGCTTAATAAGAGTGCGGTTTTTTTGCATAGTGCTCTTGAATAATCAGGATCAGCAGATCTGTAACTACTTAGAAGATAAGCTTAATATCTATGCAAAGCTTGGAAATATGAGTGGGTTTGAAGAAGTTCATGTGGAACCACATCTCCTTATTAAACCTGACTCTGGAGAAACTCCTCAAGTGGCCTCACTTCTGGCTGCAGCTCTCAAGGAAGGTAAGTCTGTGTCTACACCAAAAGTATTCTTTCCAAGGATGTGTCCTCCCCTCTGCCCTTTGTCTCACTTCTTAGTATTCCAATTCATCTCAGATTTAAAAAGTTTGGAAGCAGGCACTCATAATTCTCCCCTCATCTCAGAAAACATGATCATACTAGCTCCAAGGTTCTTCTCAGGCAGAATCCCTGCTTGTAAAATTACTAACTTTTTGTGTGGGGGACTTCCAAAGCCACAGAGGAATCTGTCAACACAGACTGCCCCATTCTCAAGGAGCCAGCCACTGTGGAAAAGGGTACGGTTGTCTTAAAACTTTACTGTATGGAACTCTTAGAAGGATTTTTATGATCTAACTAGGAAACCCTATAAGTGACTCCAGGCTTGTGCTGAGGAAACTAGTTTGGGCCTTGGCTACTGGATTGCTCTCCATGGCCTTCTATCTGAAATTCAGAACGTATAGGCTACATGTACCCTGTGCCTCCCTTTTTAAGCCCCTCCAAGGAAACAAAATTAATAAGACATGTTAAGCCTTATTAATTTGTGCACCTAAAAAAGAGATGGGGAAAAGCAGACTCCAAAATAAGGCATACATCCCAGAAAAGCCCACCTTGCCTATTTGTGTGATAGTAAGACATTATTATTGTACCATTATGCCTTTGGCTGCTGAAAATAATCCTGAAACAAAAGCCAAGATTGACCTCCCCCCCTCCCCCCCCCTGATTTACCTGGTACTCATAAAACTAACCAAGATCTTCAACCTTGTTATCTCAAACTTATATTCTGGTTGTGCAACTGATAGGACACCACTAACCAATAAAATACACATTTCTGTTGCTTTGGATTGCATTTATGTTGATATGTGTGAACTAGGATAATCTTCATAGGGTCCTCTAGATATTTTAAACAATGGTACATTTGCTGATATTACTAAACTGTTCGTGAGTTCTCTTTTTTCCTTTAAAAAAGATACTTGTATATTGTGGCCTTTCAGTCCCTTTGCTTCTAGAAACATCCTGCCCTGCATACTTCACATACCTCCAACAAGCTCTGTTAGGTCTTCTATTATACGTTCATTGTCTAATTACCTGAAGATTGTTAGGCTTCCTGAGAGTCTTGCTTAATTATAGATTACAGCAAATATTCCCATATTTTCAAGCCACTTTAATGATTACATTTAATTCAAGTAAATAGGCATGATATTCTCTCCTGTCTTTGTACTGTTGTCTCTCCACACAAACCTAGAAAGCAGTTACTTTGATAGCAGAGCTACCAAATTAGACTCAGGATCTTTAGGATCTTAGCATATAACCCTAACAACTTGGGTTCAAATTACTTGGAGATCTCCTACTCTGATATGGATCTGGGTGAGCACAGAGTTCATCAGAAAATGTCTTGCTGTTCCTACTGGGACCTGCATCCTGCCTTCCAGTTATTACACCAATGTTGTCCAAACTTGGCCATTTTAAGATGAGTGGACTTCAACTC